GTCTCTATCGGATAACTAAAACAGTCATTCCTATAGAAACACTGACGTCTTGGATGTTCCAAACGTAGTTTTACGTCTACAGGAAAAACTATAACATAAGATCACCAGGAAGTAACTAAAAGGAAGCGGTGCAAAATTGTGGCGTAAAACCCTCTTAGTGGAAGGTTTTGTGTTGATGCGGTTTGAGAATGACGATCTAAAAGTAAGAAAGGTATGCCACAAAATTTCTAATGTCCATTATTTAATGCTTAGGACACCAAGGTCTGGCCTAATGCCTGAACGTTCAAGCACGGAATACTTCGGTCAGAGACAAAAAATCGTCAGCTTGTGTGCTTAACATACTGAGAACAGGGCATACAACAAAGAGGCTTCTTAAAAGAGTAAAAAAATGGAAAGATTACGTACCGGCGTTCTGTACTGCTGCCAAATGTACCACATTGATGTGACACCGACTTCAATTTCCATAGTTAGGCCGTGGAAGAAGGCCATCGTTTCGTACTCAATGTGACTCCCCTCCTTCAGTGAGAAGCAGTTCATAAACTACAAAAAATGAGGCAAGGAGGCAGTTAGGACACACTCATGTGTACACAGAGTCGCGGTGTAAGTATAGTCAACAGTGACAGCCCATCGAGAGGCAGTCGAGGTCAGATAGGATGAAGTAACGACGAGAAAGATAATGATGCTCACCTGCATGTTTTTAAGAATATCAGTCCAAAGAACCAAAAACTTTCTGTCTTCAATCAAGATATCTGTAATTGACTTGTGAGAGAAGAGATTGTTCAGATCCGAAGTGAGAGGCCAAAAAGTGTTGCTTTGCATCAGCGGCCCATCGCAGTTGACCACCATATTTCCGCAATCATCCAGTCTCTGGGGAAAAAAGTAGGCGGTATACACTTATGAATAATCAAGTAGGATAAAAGACAAAGACTGGAATCGCCAGTTCTGGTTTAGCTATCGTTGGCAGTCAACCCTGACTGGTAAAATCTGCAATTTCAGTCGTGAGTTGAAACTAAGGCTGTTACAGGCGAGCTGCAAGCTCATGCCTTGTCAAATGCGATCAGCAATGCGGACAGTAGCGTGAGGATGGCGTGCACTGATCGGATCTGGTTACGGGGCAGAATAGAGGCAGCAAGTTTGGCCTGAGAACTCCCACCTGGCGACGAGCCAGCAGAAATCGATAAGTATTATTGGCAACGCTGATGCAAGGTTACCAGGAGAGCTGGGGAAACAGGTGAGGCACGCTGATGAAGATTACCTGACAGCAAAAGGTATGCACATTATCTTGGTGAAACTGGAAATTGCGTTCCCCAAAGCTATACTACTTGAAATTGGTCAGCTGAAATGCTGCAGATGAAATTAAGGTATCATCCGATGCTATTTCATTCTTCATTCATCCTCTGGAGTTACGAAAAACCGTAGTGAGAAAATCCTTTAAACCTGTCATACAAGTATCCCTACAGACAACCTCATTGAAATGTCAGACCTTTCTCAGAAATTAGGTTGACTTCGGCAACAGATATTATCAATGCATGAAAGGTGTCCTTATTAGTTCACTTATGTCCAACATTTTCAAAGGAGTCCCAGAGTAGACATTTGAATTCACTGTGTTTCTGCCTTTGAAAACAAAAAATTGAACGCAGCTAAGGGGCGGATATAAGTTATGACCGGTAAGTACAAGACGAGAATGCCCCATAAAAACCTTCATGCGACTCCTCCTAGAATGCAACTGCACTTGGGGCGGAAGTTGATGACAGACTCAAATTTTTTGATGGACTTGCACACTGACAAACGGATGGACCGGTGTCCTTGGCGGCATAATATAAAAGGAATTGGTTACTTCAGACCTCGTCAAGTCGGGTAGGCATACAATCCCACCCCAGTGGCGGCCTATATTCAACGTAAGAAAAGTATTTTTTGACGGACAATTAAAAAAAAACAAAGCAAACTAGAAACTAATTATGCACACAACTTGAACATCATAGAGTATCGGTCAACGTGAGATGTTTAACAAAACAGCATACAGTAGGCGAGAAGTCGTTGAGCATTTTCAAATAAATAGGCCGGTCTCTAAGAGCACACACGAACACTGGGTAACGGTAGAGAAAGGAGATCAGTCATGCTAAGTAGCCAATGGCAGGATAGGAACGGGATATACATGAGTCTAGGAAAGAACTCGTCTCATTTGCGCCGAAATATTAAAGAGGCCGAGAATTCCTAGAGCCAACGTACTTAGATGAGGCATGCCTCAATAGGTTTATCGATCTCGATGCTGCGTACAATATTTTTGAGGACAATTGTGAGGACATAATTCAGAGGACATCACCGGAGCCGCGCATGGAAACAGCTGTTTTTATGCAAATACCACCAGTCCTGGTTAAGAAAATGAACTCGCCTACGGTGCAAGCGTCCAGTGGATGACCTTTTGGCCTTAATAGCGTGCTAAAGTACGATGCAGTCTACGCGTACCATAAAATTCCGCCTTCTCAATGCCGAGTCATTGGTTATTTCATACAACTCGGAGTTGTAGGTGCTGCCCAGTTGTAGGATGCGCGCCTAGACTCGAATATAAACAAACAACTGTATTGCAGTCGGCATATTTTAGGCAATAGTTGCTGAAATTGTCAGTTTATGACAGATTATGAAGACACTTATAATAGCAGTACGTCAGTTACGGCCAAAGTCCGCCTTCAAACGACCCAATTGTATTGAGGCAACGACTGGCCCAGGCGGCTGCACCCCGCACACTAAATGACAGTCACCCAACAGATGTAAAGCTGCCAACGCTGTGAAATGAATTTGAAGAAAAAACCTCGAGCATAACCACGGGCTTGTTTTGCGATACTATTGGATCTTGGCAAACAGGTTGCCTGACACTGTCCTAACTGATTTTAACGAGCAGAATTTGCCTAAACAAACTGGATGAGGAAGCAGTTGCCAAATATAGGCACTACGGCACATCTTCAAATTTCATCAAACATACCACCAGCCTTCGACTATCTGCTCTGTTGACTTTTCTGCTGCGAGCCATCCTGTTAATTGTGTTTTCCCGTAGCAGATGATAGTGCCGGCGGCAATTGCTGCTACGACAGATAAGCACGAGCGTTAAACTACTGCCCCAAATTCTTTTAAACAACGCCTCACAACAGCTGTGTGCCTGGTTAAATGCTGGACAAGGATACATCCAGCTGTCCAGTCTATTTAACCAAATTGTATCGATGATTAGTTGTGGCGATTATCAACTTTCATGAGGACGCCAGCTTACTACGCCGAGTATGTCGCTTTCCTGTCGTTCAGTACCTGTAGAGTATGACGTAACTAACTTACTTCCTAATAAGATTTTAAAAAATGATAGTACTTTTTAACCACATGTCGAAATAGAAATCAGTACCCAACATTAATGACTGACAGTTTGGAAAGGAGGATAGATTTTTATATTGCAGGACTAGTGTTCACAAAATATACTGATTAATAAGGACGCCGCACGATTTGATAGTGCCCAAGGGGTCTTCGCAGATTTCGGATTAGCCATGCACCCGTTATGATATCTCACTCCTTTAAATCATCGGGGCGTACCAGCACCTGTACAGTCAATTCTATTCCAAAGTTTTAGAGGCTAGGCTATGCGCGCAGCAAACGAACAAAAACAACGTGTCTTACTGCCAATGTTTAATGCTCACCTTATTCTGAATGAAACTACCTACAAGCGCTACAAAATCATAGGGCGTCTGCTAGACTTTTCTCCTCTCATATGATGGCTGAGGCATGACACATTCGGTGGAAAAGTAATAAATCCTCGGAGCACCGGAACTAGAAAAGGTCCTCAGCTGTCGCCCAAAAGCGACAGAAATTTCAGAAGGCGATAGGTTACCACAATCATCCGAGTATGCTAACGACTCATTCGCCTGCAACGGGCTGTCCTTAAATTCAAACTTTACTCGCTAGGAGCGAGCATATGGAGGGACTCAAATATGATCTGATTATGCCCCAGTTAGACAAAACGCCCTTCCCTATAGTTGCTCGAATCAGGCCAAAAGCGGCAATCTTGAAGCACTATGAGCGACTAATGTGTATGAAAAGGTTAGCCGGAAAAAGGAAATCGTAGTTAAATGGGCGAATCTTTCGCTGGATCCTATTACAGGACGAGCTTGACGAAACCCATATTATTTTGTAAAATCATAGCTGAAACGATAGCTCGTATCATATTTCTAACATTTTCCACAATAACGGAATCGTGAGCTCTAGCAGCAATGCCTTTATTTCTGCAGTCTTCATAGTCATAATCATCGGCAACACCGTCACCACCGTAACTGATACCATAAGACAACACAGAGCCGAAGGATCAAGAAAACCAAAGCTGTTCGTTATTTTTACGAAGTTGTAGGCTATATGAAATACCGGTATTAAACATCAGAAATCAAACGTAATGGCATATCTGAATTAGAGATGCGGAGGAGCTGGGGTTATTCACTTCGGCAGGATGGAGGGGCGGTTTAAGTCATTGATACCCGCCATGAAGTCATAGCGTAATAATAATAGCGGGGTAGTGACGTTTTTTTACATTCCCACCGAAACGGTTACAAGTTGTACAAAAGAATGCACTAAACATAAATGGGTTGACGCCGGGCTGCACTTTTATTCGTATCCCAGGTCTTACTATACTGTATTACATGTCGATAAAAAGCAATGTACCTGCGTGATGCGACCATAGATAGCGAGACACTTGATAAGAACCATTCAGATACCCTTCAAGACCTCTCTAATAGTTCTTGTTGTCTGGTTCGTCAATTTCTGGGTAGAGCAAGATATCATCTTCTCTAGATAATAAACGATTATTTACCTAGCTAGAGTATGCTTGTGAGAACAAAACGCCAGTTTTTTTATCCTTTTACAAATAAAGACCAATGCTAATTTTACATAGACATTATGGATGCAAGCTAAAAGAGCATTCGAGAAAGTTTCCAATGTCAACACCCCTATTATGTGGAGCACAAATTTACCAGACATCAGACAAAAGAAAACGGAGTGGTTAGAAAAATACTCACTGTATGACAGTGATCAAACATGTTTCGGATCCACTGAACTATGATGTAATGCACAGAACGCTCCTTGACCATCCGCAGAGCTGGTTTTTCGCCACTGAACAACTGAACAGAGACATGGACAATACGATTGTTCATTTGGAGAGAGGCTTCCGAACTTCCAGAACGGGAGCGAGCTGTAATCATGAGTGTTGATGCCATTCTTGAGTAGTGGTCCACATACGAGTCAAGAAACTTTTCCTGGTAGAAAAATTAAAGAAATTGGGCCTTCAAATGATTCCTTAAGATGCAAAAATGCTTCTGGAAGGAAAGCCCAAAGAGGGAGCTAAAGCCAACTAAAAGAAGGTAGGCAGCAAGTCAATCGGTATGAGGTGAAGCCGGAAGGAATTAGGTAAGGTCAGGACTAATTCGTATCTTAAAGGTTTTCTACTAAATCGTCTGTGGAAGGCCAAGACTTCAACGTACATTACTTGACGACTGCGACAATAACTTCTGCCGCAACTTAGCAATCGACTGGGTTATTCCTTGGCGGTAGGGGCTTTCGGCTATGTCCGAGGTGTAAACTAATAAAGAAGATTCTCTGGACTGCTGAGACGTTTGATGGATGAGAACAAAGAGACTGACTAATAAAGAAAAAAATGCTTATAAATTCGGCCTTTAAATATAAGTTCTACGGAGTTTGGAACATCTTAAAAGGAGATGACAGTGCCATGAGTGCCATGGGTGACAGAGCATTCATCTTTATCTGTGAGTTGTGTTGACCTGCGCATAAATCTGACAGCAGCCAGAAGCCTGTGCAAAAGCCAACGCAGAATACAGTGAGCGCATTTGGTGCCTTGCATTTTTATTACACTAGAGGTTAAAAAGAAAGCTCTTGCAGATTTTCGTAAACCAACCGAACTTGGCAACCGCATAGTGGAATGCATGGATGGCGTCAAATAACAGCATAATTTGGGTAAGTCTGCTAGAAGACTTTTAAACTGACCTTGAATTCTGGCACGGCGAGCAGCCCAATAAGAAGTGTGTCTAGTCCCTCTGGAAAGCAGAGCTTCACGGTCGTGAAGAGGAGGGCATCCAAAAGTGTGCGATGATGTAGTTCGGACTTTTCTAGTTCGTCTTAAAAGAGAATTTGAACGAATAAAAGTTGAGGATTTTCATTACCATGATCGTAATTGTGGTCGGGAATAATTGCTATGAAAAAGGCGGAAGAGGTCGAAGGAAGAGTAAGAGAAATGATACTAGTAGTTAAAGTAACGTATAGAAAAAATGATACTGAAGCACAATAGGGTGTGCGGACCCACCACTTACCGCTAATGAAGATACTGGGGTCCGAAGCTACGCTAGTGCGGAAGTCCTGACAAGCTGGAGTTCCAGAACTCGCTAAAGATAAATACCCCAAAATGACACGTGATATGGTATGAAAACTTGATGTAAAAAAAGAAGAAAAACAAAATCGGCGAACATATGTCTTGGATTATTTATCATGCCTATAAAACAATAAACATGAAGAGAAGACAGCAAAAGCGATATCATTGTCCCAACTTAGACAGAAGAAAAATTAATAAAAGGAAGTAAGCGCGTTTAATTTAGCTTTTTGCACCTATGAGAGAACAGGTGCAACAAAAATAGAAAATTGGAGTAAGAAGTACAGAGGCATAAAAGAATCATAACCATTACGGTATTATCGTGGAAGACAAGTTAATGAAGTTATACTAACAATCAGGAATAAATTCATCATCAGAAAATGCCTATGTAAATTATGCGAAATAATATAAGGTAGCGAGAATTGAATTTTACACAGACGAGAAAGAATTTTCTAAAATGTGTTTGGGAGCATATTTTCGCCTTCAAGATTTTCTGAGTGTAAATTTTCAATGAAAAATGTGAACATATGCGAAGAGTATAAACTACGGGCTGCTTTTATATTCCTTCGGAGCTAAATTATCTTTCAGTGATGATGTAAAAAAAGAACACGGAAAGAAAACAGAGAAAATGAGCGAATTGCAAAGCAATGCTATTGCCTCCAAAAATTTAATCACCTCGGAGAAGGTCCTCGAAAACTTGCTCGTCAATAAGAACATCGGCCATCAACTTTTGTGCAACCCAACCGCAAGCATGGAGTCGGTGTAGGAAGAATAGCAGGGGGACGGTATCTTCGGTAAGGATTATTGGCGAGTCCCCACGACACTGTTCCCAAAACCAAAACATCAGTGCAGAGAAAACACTAGGAAGTAGAAATTCCAAAACAGCCACAAGCTCTCGGGGCGGTTCAGGCCGATTAGCCACCTTGTCCTCACCATGAAAACGGCAAATTCTGAAGTTAGAAGATCAAAATAACTTAAAATATCTATGTACCAAATATGATTATAAACGAAGTTCTGGATTAAAAAATTCCCGAGACTACAGTCACGAAACGCAGAGGACTTGGTAACAGGAGTTTAGAATAAAACGCTAGTGCCAAGTAATTTTTGT